GGGGGGGATAGAGTCCTAAAGCTGGCCGTACACACCTGTGAACCAGCCAATATTTGAACCCTGGGTGGCCATGTTGGGTGCAGAATCATCTTCTGAGCAGTGAGTGCAGCTGATTGGCAACCAAGTACTGTACTTGAATTGGTCCTGACATCAGCCTTCTTGAATCCCAGGTATAGACTGGGAGAGGGAGGGGCAGAACTAGGAGCCAATCAGGCTCAGCTGCATGCACATGTGTGGACAAGAAATATGCTGAGAGCAAGAGAGAACAAAGTGATAATTCATAAGTGGTCTTCTGCCAATCACAGACTAGACATGACTATTCTGTATTTCTTAACTGCAATAGAGAATAGTCAGGTCAGCAAGTTGGCTGTGTTGTCCAATACATGACAGCAGAACAAAAATATTACCTGCGTCTTTTTTTTTTAACACAGCGCACCACAAATGCACAGTGTGCTACAATGCAGGTCTGCCGTCACCTACTGTGACATACGTTGGTGTGCTCTTCTAAATTAATGTCACCACAACACATGCGGTAACACGTGCTTTATCTACTACAATGCAGGTCTGTCGTCACTCACTGTGACATACGTTGGGGTGCTTTTTTAAATGAATAGCACCACAACACATGCGGTAACGTGTTTTATTGCATGTTACCACAATGCATACGTGGGAAGGGGCCTTACTGATAGAAGGTACAGTGTAAAACATACTGTATACCCAATATACTCCAGCTCCTCAAACATCTCAGCCTGTTCAGTTTGCTACCCTTTACTTGAATACTTTCTTTTGCTCTTATGTACAGGTTTTGGTCTGGCACACAAGGACTGAAAGACCTACGCTGGTCAATGAAGGGAAAAGAGGATTTACCGACATGAACATTGAAGTGTAGACATGGAGCTTACCGCTGCGTAAGTGTTGCCACTAAATCTGTATTTTAAAAATGCATTCTAACCTTTGATTTGCTTATAGAAAGCTGGAGTGTGTAGCCCCAAGAGGATCTGTCGATAAACTATCCACAGGGACCCCTACTCTGCGAATATCTGCGAATGTTTAATCTGTGCAGATATATGCCAAAACTAACGTTCTTTAATTGTTGTTTTTTTTTACAAGGGAATGTAATTTTGAATGTTTTTTTGTTCATGTAATATCATATTTTGGTCACTAGATGGTGCAGAGGAGCATAGAAAATAAACACTTGTTTCCTATGCTTATTAGCCCCATGTGTCATGTGATATTACATGAAAACGAAATGGTAAAGAATGTCACCAACGTTAGATTCAGCAAATGTCCATTTGAATGACAAACATTGCCATTCAATAGCTAACAGCTTGGTGTGCTGGTGACATCCTTTACCATTTCGTATGTTTCACGGTGCCTCCGTGGTCACTGCGAGCACCCATTCATCTATACTATCTTCTAAGAGATCCGGTAAGGAGTGCAGCAAGATATACATATTTTACTACATGAAACAAACAGCCCTGTGATTTTTTTTTTGATTTTTTTTTTTAACAGACCCCCTAGTGTTCTCAACATAAAAATGTGCAAAAATGTATCTAAGAGGGTTATTGACGAAAGAACCGAAGAATTCAGCCGTACCTTCGGCTGATCCTTCGGCCGCCGGAGCCCTTAGGTTCCCAAAGGCAGCCGAGCTGAAGGCATATGCTTCAGCTTGACTGAGCCGAAGTGGCAGCTGAAGTGGGGCGAACGGCCTGCCAAAGGCATCAGCGTCCTCAAATGACCTGGGGGTGCTGATCTGTCATTAAACAACAACAACTGGGCGGAGCCGGCCGTGACGTCATGCCCAGTTGTTATTCATTGGCTGGGACCTGCTAGAAGACTCTAGAAAGTGCCGGCCAATAGGAAACGTTGGGCAAAGCTAGCTGTCACTGCTAGCTCCGCCCCCATTGTTTTGTTTTTTTTCTTTTTTTCAATATCTTTATTTCTTTTTTAATTTCACTATTTGTTTAACCACCTGCTGTCCGGCCGTGGTAATTAAACGGCCGGACAGCGGTTTCTTGAATGCGGGTGGGCGTTTTTAAACGCCACGCTCGTGCCCACCGCCAGGCGGCGCGCACGAACGGGAAATCATCATCATTGAAAGAAATCATCTTTCAATGTAAACAGCCAGCGATGGCTGTTTACATACAAGCGTTCAGGCGCCCCATCGCTTGTGATTGCATGCGGGAGTGCAACCTACACACACACACACACACACACACCCC